AGAAGCATTTAATCTGCGTTATATGTTCTGTAAAAAAAAAAAATTCATATCAGCGACATGCTCATATCGGCTGATAATATCGGCTAAACAATATATCGGTCGGGCTCTATTTTATGAAATGAAATAATGTTTCATTTCTTGCACAGAATGATGGCTTCGCTTTATAAGACCTCAGTTTATCATCAGGAGCAACAAGTATTGATAATACAAGGCGCTCACAATAGCTCTGCACAGGTGCTTTGGCGCTGAAACCCACCTGGCCTGCATCCATCCTTTAGGCCAGAGCGGTTTGACCTCCGCCTCCATGAAGACTTTCAGGTAATCTTCAGGTGAGAGTGAACTCTGACCCTCCAGCTCGTAACAGCCCAGCTTGACCCGCACCAGATTACACAGCAGAGACCTGAGCAAACACACACACACCTTACATTGGCTTTACTCAACCACTACATGACTAAAATAAGACACAGCAAGCTTTAAAATCAGCTAAAACTAATAAAAAATTAAGATGACATTAAATTTCTTACAATAATTACCTCAAGCAAGTCTTGGCCATATGAGGGAAATTTAAGTGTGATTTCTAGATTTCTAGAATAAAATCCTAAAAGGTTTTGGAAATTGTAATAAAAAAAATTTTCATGTTATATTGAGCTGTAAAATATTTTAGCAGGTATAAAAAAAGCCCTTATTATATGATCATGAGCAACTGAAAAAGTCAGTTCATAGAGGCTGTGCAGAGGGCAGGGCAGATTTGAGATTATGGACACCCCAGGAGTGTCCACAGACAGCTTCAGTTGACACTAGCAGTAGCTTGAGTTGGGATAATTTTAATAATTATAATTTCTAGAATGGTTTTATGTTTTTTAGTCTATAAACACATTTATTTAGTATACATCGAAATGCACAAAACTGCTTATAACAAGAAGAGTCTGTAATTTTTGGCCTTGATTTAATTTCTCCCTTACAAGCATTCAATAGGCCTACATGTCTACATTAATAATAGAATAAAATTCGATATGAATATCCTACATTTCTGCCACAATAGCACAGTTAAAGTTAGTGTTTCTAAAGTAAATCCTTTGTAAATGTCGGTGATTTGTGGTTTGTAAAGTATTCTAACTGGACTGCTACACACGAGTAGCATTCTCAGATAATGAAAATGTGTGGTTTTTTAAGTTTTAGTTTTACATTTAGTCATTTTATCCAAAGCGACAATTAGGGAATACATAAAGCAATTCTTCTTAAAGAGGCAAACAGACACAGGAAGTGCTTGGAATACCAAGTTTCAGGCATTGTTCAAATAAGTACAAGCTAGAAAGAGAAGGAATAAATAAAGAGAAAGAAATTTTTTTTTTTTAGGATGAAGTGAAGTAGCGTCGAAAGAGATGAGTTTTCAGCGGTCGCTTGAAATTTTTTTCGTTAGTTTAGTTCGTTAGTTAAGTTTTAGTTAAGGACAATAACCCTGGTATGAAACCTGAAGAATATTCAAATCTTGAAACTTCTGGAATTATGGAATTAATTTGATCTAATCACATTAATACATTTTCCAAGCCTTGTTTCTGTAAATCAAAAAGTTGGAAAATAAGCAGCTTTGTGTTTGAATATTGTCTTATTCACAGCGTCACACATTGTTTTGTCTGGAGTTGTTCCCCAATGACAATCTCTGACTGTTCCTGATCTGTGTGTGATCTCCCGAGTTTCACCTGAGTTTGTCGTCCCACACAAATTTCTTCCTGGGTCCCATGACTCTTTTTCCTGGCTTCTCATCATCGTCGTCCTCTGAGCCGTTTCTGTCGCCGTCCTCCATCTGCTGCCTGCGAAACAAGCAACAAAACAAGCCAAAGATCAAAATATTTCTTCATTTAATTCATTTTTTGTCATTGAAGAACCAGGATTTGCAGAGTCTTGGAAAACTTGGATTTATGAGGAAATCAAAAATATGATATCTAGGCCTGGAAAATTCATGCAAATTCATTAAACCTTTAAACTGAATTGTAATTTTTATAATAATTTTAATTTCTATATTTTATAAATGTTTGTTAGAATAATTTTTTCTAATTATGCCAAGCTCTAAAATATTTTATTGGCAGAAACCGTGAATAAAAAATATCTATATTCAGTAAACAAACAAACAAATAAATGAATGAATACAAATTCTTCTCTTCATTTCTCCTCTTTGCTATCTTGCTTCCTAATCTAGTTGTCTAATAAACCTGGCATTGTATATTATGAATATTGTCTGTTCTTTGACTAATTGCTTTTGTTTCTCTTTTGTACGTCTCTTTGGATAAAAGCGTCTGCTAAATGCATAAATATATCATGTAAATCACAAACTGGAAAAGTCATTCAAAAATATGATTTCTAGACCTAGAAATCTTGCAAACTTATAAAACCTTAAAACCAAATGGGCATGTTTATAATTCACTAACTTAAATTTTTATATTTCTTAAATTTTTTTTATTTTTTATAATGCATTTTTCTAGTTATGCTAAGCTCTACAATATTTTATCGGTAGAAATTGTAAATAACAATTAAATATATATATATATAAATAAATAAAAATAAATAAATATCTAAATTAAGCATATTAAAAGACTTAAAAAATTTAAGAAAAAAGTTGGGAGGAAAAAAAATCTGAATTACAAATAACGAATATTTTGGTAACATTTTACAATAAGGTTCATTAGTTACAGTAACTACGTTAGTTAACATGAACCAAGCATGAACAATACATCTACAGCATTTATTAATCGTAGTTAGTGTTAATTTCAACATTTACTAATGCATTATTAAAATCAAATGTTAACATTAGTCAATGCACAGTGAATTAACATGAACTAACAAAGAGCTGCTGTATTTTCATGAACTCACATTAACGAAGATTAATAAATACTGTAATAAATATATTGTTCATTGTTCATTCATGTTAGTTAATGCATTAACTAACATTAACTAATGGAACCTTATTGTAAAGTGTTACCAATATTGTTATTTCTTTGACTAATCACTTTTGTTCCTCTTTTGTAAGTCACTTCGGCTAAAAGCATCTGCTAAACACATGAATATAAAAATGTAAATATAAAATCACTAACAACCAGAAAAGTCATGTAAACTCACTGGTCAAAAAGAGCAGGATGACTAACAAACGTCTGCAATCCTGAAATGTAGATCTGAATCATAACTAGGTTAGCCTAGGTTCTTACTTGGCGACTTTGGCCATGCAGTCCATGTTGTATCGTGCGATCTGCTCCGGCATGACGCTGCACACGGCCAGCTTGAGCTTGTGCAGCGGCGTGCGCAGCCGGTCGTCCTGGATGTTCAGACTGAGCTTCTTCAGCCGCTTCAGCAGAGCCTCTTTATTGCACGGCACAAAGGCCTCCAGATGAGAGTAGACGGCGGCGCGCACCTACACAGGCTTCTCCTGCACCTGCAGCTCGATGCTACAGACACAGACAGAACCAGTGAGACCATAAACGCCACAGAGAGACTCTGGACACGGAAGAAATGGACAAATGAACTCACTCCAGCAGGATGTTGTTCATGTCCAGTGTGAAAAACTTCTTCCTGCCCTCCATATCGAACTGACGAGACGCCTGGGAGAAAAACAAGCATTTAACACCATGCCGGCTGTCATGGCTATTTTCATGGCAACAAACAGGTTAAAAATGCAGCAAAATATCCAAAGGAAAAACAAAACGCACAATTTGTCTGTCTGCTGGGATTACCCACTGTATAGATTTGCAGTAATAATGCAGCATGATCTGATCTACTGACACTATTTTACCCTGTTTTCCATCTTTCTAACCTCTCGCTGTTCTCACTGTTTTCTGTCTACTTTCTCTCTGTCATGATGGTCTGTTCCTCCTACACCTCTATCTACCTCGTCTCCTGCTCGCTCTCCTTCACAATCTGCCTGGAAAGAAAAGACCACAC